GAGCTGGTCATCTTGAAACGTGTAACGGTCGTCACTTTTGGGCTCCTGAGGCTTGAATATGGAGGAAGTATCAGGCGGGAGCCTTGTCTGTGAGTGAATTGCGAGAAAGTCTGAGGCGGGAGCCCCTTCCCTATGGGGCCTGCAGTTCACGTTGGTAATCCGAGCGGGTCATCCTGAAACGTGTAATTGTCATCATTTTTGGGTCCTGGAGGCCTGAATATGGAGGAAGTATCAGGCGGGAGCCTCGTCTGTGAGTGAATTGCGAGGAAGTCTCAGGCGGGAGCCCCCTCCCTATGGGGCCCGCAGATCATATAACGACTCCGAGCGGGTCATCCTGAAACGTGTAACGGTCGTCACTTTTGAGCTCCTGAAGCTTGAATATGAAAGAAGTATCGCGCGGGCGCTTTGTCTGTGAGTGAATTGTGAGGAAGTCTCAGGCGGGAACTCCCTCCCTATGGGGCCCGCAGATCATATTACGAATCCGAGCGGGTCATCCTGAAACGTGTAACGGTCGTCACTTTTGCGTTCCTGAGGCTTGATTACGGAGGAAGTATCTGGCGGGAGCCTCGTCCGTGAGTGAATTGCGAGGAAGTCTCAGGCGGGAGCCCCCTCCCTATGGGGCCCGCAGCTCATGTTGGTAATCCGAGCGGGTCATCCGAAACGTGTAACTGTCGTCCTTTTTGGGCTCCTGAGGCTTGAATATGGAAGAAGTATCGAGCGGGAGCCTCGTCTGTGAGTGAATTGTGAGGAAGTCTCAGGCGGGAGCCCCCTCCTTATGGGGCCCGCAGATCATGTTACGAGTCCGAGCGGGTCATCCTGAAACGTGTAACGGTCGTCACTTTTGGGCTCGTGAGGCTTGAAAATGAAGGAAGTCTCAAGCTGGAACTTCGTCTGTGAGTGAATTTCAAGGAAATCTCAGGCGGCAGCCCCCTCCCGATGGGGCCCGCACGTCATGTTCGAATCCGAGGCGGGTCATCGGATTCTACTAAGTGTCGTCACTTGGAGGTCTGAGGACGGATGTTAGGACCGATTTTGAGGATCGAAGGGGAACTCGCTCCTGCGGCCTCACAACCGGGGAGTTACCAGGCGGGAGCTTCGTCTGTGAGCGAAGTGCGGGTAGCCCCGTCTGAACTGGTCGCGGGCAGAATTGTTGTTGTCATGGGCCTGCGTGCCCGAAAGGGCGATTGAGAAGTGCGGGTACCATCGTCTGAGCTGGTCGTTGGCAAACTTGTTGTAGGGGCCTGCGTGCCCGAAAGGGCGACTGAGGAGCTGACGATGACGACGACGAGACAGCGGCCGGGCGCAGGGGTAGCCCCTTGCGTCCGGGGCGGGGGTGGTAACCCATCCTCGGCCGAATCGGGGGCAGGGGTAACCCCTTGTCTCGGGGCCGCCGGTGGTAACCCATTGGCGGCCGAATCGGGCGCAGGGGGGGACCCTTGCGTCCGGGCCGGGGGTGGTAACCCATCCTCTGCCGAATCGGGCGCAGGGGTAACCCCTTGTCTCCGGGCTGGCGGTGGTAACCCATCGTCAGCCGAATCGGGCGCAGGGGGGAACCCTTGCGTCCGGGCTGGCGGCGGTAACCCACCGTCAGCCGCCCACAAAAAAACGCCCTGCGTGCTCGTGGGTAAGGGGCCATTAACGCAATTTTTTGTTTTGGCCCGTTCTGGTTTCAATCGGTTTCTGTCACCCCCGGGACCCGAAAAAGGCACGGAGGGCGGCGACCCCGCTGCGGCCAGTTTTGCCAGCAGCGTGTACTCAACGCCCAGCGCGTGCATCGCCGCCCTGGTCGCTGGGTTGCCGGAGAACGAGAGACTCACGCGGGACCAGACGCTCTTCGTCGCCAAGTTCGCCAAGGCCTGCGATGACGCCTGGGAGGACGACGTGCAGAAGAAACCCTGGAGCGAGAGAAAAGTGACGCACTTGCTCCTGCTGGGCCAGGGCGGTTCGGGGAAGACGCACGTGGTGCAGAAGATCGTCTTCCCAGTGGTGGAGTATTTGCGGCCCTCGTCGGCGCAGGACAAGGGCGCCATGATGGTCGTGGCCTTCTCGAACGTGCAGGCGAAGAACATCTCCACAGAGATTGTGAAGGCTAGAACGCTTCACAACGCCTGTGCCCTGCGAGTCAAGAAGTACATCAACGCGAAGATGAGGCCGGGGGGCATGCAGAAGAGACTGAAGTGGTTGTGGGAGCACGTCCGCGTATTTGTCATCGAGGAGGTGAGCATGGTGGCGGCTGCTCTGTACAACGCGCTGGACCTTCGCGCTTGTCACGGACGCAGCGACACGCATGACGTGCAGGAGTCCACCTACAAGAGGCCGCATCACCACTTCGGGCGCGTCCCCATCGTGCTGCACCTCGGCGATTTCCTGCAGCTGAAGCCCACCGGCAGCATCGGCCTCCTAGCGGACCCCAACGAGCTCCTGGAAGACGATTCGTACAAGTACAAGGAGCCGCCGACGTTGGAGATTCAGCACGCCATCACGTCTTCAGACACGTCCCCTGCGTCTTCGAGCTGAAAGGCACGAAGCGCTTCGAGCCAGGGGACCTTCTGATCACGTTCTCGGGCTGCACGCGCGAGGGCAAGCGCTTCCCACCAGAGGTCTGGTCTGCCTGGGAGAAGACATTGGCTTCGGACAACCACGGCGTCCTGGACCCTCGGCACCAGCGCGAGAACTTTCGGCTCGGCTACGGCATGGGCATCCACTGGGAGACGCTGGCGAGGTGGATCAACACGCCCGTCGCGACGCGCGGCGCCTCGGCGCCCCCCTCGTTTTCCTGCAGGCCGTAGACGGGTGCGGCGCGATCCAAGGCGACCCAGACGCAGGCCGGCGCCTCCTGAACGTTCCGAACACGCACAAGACCGGGGACATCCACGGCGCCTTACCGGCACACGTCGGCATGGAGGTCCGGTTCACGGCCGTGCAGGAGGAGCTGAAGAAGAAGTTGGGGCTCGTGCAGGAGCAACCGACCACCATCGTGTCCTTCGAGTTTCCCGCAGACGACGAGCGGGACTACGAGGAGTGCGCGCCGGGCCAGCTCTTCCGTCCCCGCTACCTACCGCAGGGAATCTGGCTGCAGGTGCACGGCTTCCAGGAGTCCCCGATCTACAAGGAGTTCGCCGAGGTGCTGCAGCGGCGCGCCGATGGCGCTGGCGACGACGGCGAGGCCGAGGCGCGGGCGAGGAGCTTGCTCATGTTCAGGCCTAGCGAGCAGGAGTTCACGTGGCAGAGCTCGGGGGCGCACGCTGCGCGCCGCTCGGGGGTCACCCTGGCGCATGCGCCCTACCTGACCTCCACGCTGTCGCAGGGCCAGACGCTGCGCAAGGGCGTCACCATCGATTGCGCCAGGGATGAGGACGCTGGCCGCACGGGCATGTCGGACGAGATGCGGCGGCTGCACCTCTACGTCATGTTCTCCCGCGCCGCGCGCATGCGGAACATGCTGATCCTGCGGCCGCCCGCGCGAGAGTTCCTGGAGCGCGGGCCGCCGGCGTCCCTGGGGGAGGCGCTGCAAGAGTTTGACAAGAGAGCGGTGGGCTCCAGGGCTGAGGCGGAGCAGCTCGCGGCAGAGCTGGGCCTCGTGCTGCCACCCGCCTGAGCGCCGCGGCGCGCACCTGGAGGCCCGCGGGGTTGTCCCAGCGGCTGGCCCCCGCGCCCCTGCGGCCTGCGAGGTTGTCCCAGCGGCCTGGCCCGAAGGGTTGCCCCGGCGGTTTCGCGATCTAGCCGTCGGCAAACGCGCGCGCGCTGGCCGACGCGGCGACGGCGCCGAGGAAAATTCGAGTTGATTGCCACGACCAGGGGGAACGGGAGGTGCACATGGAGAAGAGGCAGGAGGATGAGGAGGGAAGGGGCATGGGGGAGGGCGACGACGAGGAGGAGGTGGCGGAGGAGGAGGAGGAGGAGAAGGAGGAGGAGGAGGAGGAGAAGGAGGAAGAGAAATAGAAGGAGGAATAGAGGGCGGTACAGAGGGCGAGAAGAGAGGGTGTCCGCCAGGGGGAGGAGGAAAGGGCAAAGGGTAAGCTAAACAGATTCTTGTGTGGGGTCCCACCGTCGGATCAATTTGGTCTTAGCCTGCGTGTTGGACCAACAGGTCGGGGGTTGCTAACGGTGTTCTTGGCCAGCATGCCGCACCACTTTGGAGCCCCAGGGGCCCTTTGGGCCTCGCGCGGGGAACTCTGGAGGCCGCGGGGGCCTTGTCGAGAAGCCTGGGGGGACTTCGCACCAGGGGCACGTCCGACAGCACACAGACAGAGATTCTTGGCAACTGGGTCGCGCGGCTGGCTCCGGCACGTGCGTCCCGACCCCCCCCCGTGCAGCAGACACCGTGGAGGGTGGAGGGTGCTCGTGTTGGTGCTCAGTAGTCCGGGGGGGGCGGGTCAGAGAAGCTTCCCTCCGATATCGAAAAACAACAGCGGTATGACCTTGCACGTTCGGTGCTTCGCGTGGATTTCTTGGGATGGGGCTGGCGCCCCCCCGGCGGCGCCTCCAGCGCCGCCCCGGGTGGCGCGCTCTGCGCGCCAGGGAGTAAGGTCCAGCGCAGATCAGCGAAGCCCGCGCGGACCTCGGGAAGATCGGGTTTAGACTGTTCTTTCTTTTAGTATTTCCCCCCGATGGCCTCCTTGTTAAACTTCCATTATTGCGCCAGTACGCTGGTCTACCAGTTTTCGGCTGGTCAGACTCGGGAATCAAATTGCTCGGGTCTGCTGCTATACGTTATACTCATCATTGCGCAAACACAAGAAGTGTGGCATAACATCTTATCTTGCTCATACTCCTCTTGCTCCCTTTGCTGCTCCTACTCACTGTCCCCTTTTTCCGTTTGCTCCTCGTATTGTTTCCGTTATTCCTCGTATTATTATTTGCGTGTTTTTCTCCTGCACATCATCCTTCTGTTCATTGTTCTCCGGCTTGTCATGTTGCACCTTGTCTTATTCCTCTTCATTCATCGTCCTTTTTCGTTGTTGTCCTTCATTGGTTCCCTTCTCCTGCCCCTCCTCAAGGAAAAGCGCATCCCTGGGATGGACACCATCTTCCACGCGAGCGGCCACGCAAATGATGGCCGCCGCCTCCAGGCCTCCACCTACGATCGCGCCACTGCACAGGCTCAGGTCTTTCGGGATTAATGTGACGATGAGTGTGTGGTGATGTGGATGATGATGGTGGCGATGATGAGGAGGAGGATAATCATGAGATGGCGGAAAAGGGAGATGGAGATCGGAAGGATGAACAGGAAGAGGAGGTTACACACAACAAGCTATGCATGCGGCTCCAGGCGACCGCCGCGCGAAAGCACATGTAATCTAACAAGTTGCGTAGCAAGGCAAGTAAGAACCCCTTTCTGCAAACACTGCCAGGGGAACAGAGACACACACACACGTACATATGAGGCATTCCAGGAAATGCTTCGCCTTCGGGGATCGAAGGAGTTGGCATATCTTCCCCAGCGGAAGGCGGCGGAAGCCCGGCGGAAGGCGGCTGAAGCAAACGAGGCTGCCTCCGCCGGCAGAATGCTGGTGGAAGCTGGCGGAAATGAACGATGCGCCCCAAAGAGATGGCAACAGTTTGGGGTTCAGGGTTTTCGGAACCGATCGTGTACATACACCCATCGATCGACATCTTCTTTTTCGGATACTCTTATGAGGACACCCCCCGTACATGAATTCGGGCCTGCGCGCTCCCAGCCATCCTGCACCGCCCAAGCAGGCCTTTGATCGGTTCCCGAGCGGTCCCGCGGAGCACCGAAACGGCCCAAGACCGTTCTAGAACGCACAAGCTGTTCTCAGGACGGCTCCAGGACGGCCTCAAGACGGCCCAAGAGCGTTCGAAGAGGACCCCAAACGGCCTCAAGACAGTTAATAAGGCCTTCAAGACGCTCCAAGACACCTCCCAAGAGCGCCCCGAAGAGGCGAACATCGCGTCATTTCCGTAGGGAAAACGTGCACGTCGAGCATATTCGCTTCTTCGGTCTAGACAGCGTCCAACACGGTCCAAGAGACCCCCAAGATCGCCGCGAGACGACCCAAGACGCCCGAAAGAGGGCCCCAAGACAGCCCAAGAGGGCTCCAAGACAGCAGAAGCGAGCTCGAGATGACCGGAGAAGGGTCCCGGAGAGCCCCAAAAAGCTTCTAAGAGAGCCCCGAGAGGGCCACAGGAGGCCCCCAAGAGGGCCCAGGAGAGCCCCATGAGAACCCCAAGACGCCCCAAGCCCCCCAAGACAACCCAGAAGAGCCCCAAGTCAAGGCCATTCCACAGCTGTGCACGCTGCCCGGCCGCAGTTTTTCCTCCAAAAACTTCCAGGAAGGAGGTAAGAGGAGCGCAACGACGACGACGACGACGACGACGAAGAGAACGACAAGGCCCGCGAGTCGGAGCCTGGGCTTCGGCGACCGCCCCGGACGACCCCTTGATTCTCTCCTCCTCACCAGCCTCCTAGCCTTCCGCCCCAGACATCCAGCGGCACGATTTTTTCGCAACGTCTGCCCCCCGATCTCCACACACCTTTCCCAGGACAACCTTTTCACGCCTGGTCGTTTTTCAACGATGATGGTGAGGTCCCCCCTCCTCGCCCCGACCCTTTCATTGGCGCCCTGACGCCAGGACTGCACGACGCGCTTTCACAGGCCATTCCAGGCCTTACCAGCCTCATCGGCTCTACGACTCCTCTGGGCCCTACGAGCACTTTGGTCACTGTCACTCGTTTTAGGACTACATGAGCCCTGTGAGCTCTACGGGCCGTGCGAGCCTTGTGAGTCCTGTGAGCCTTATGAGCCCCAGCAGATCTATGGGCCAAATGCCGCCTGTGAGCCTACGAGACTCGTAAGCGCGATGAGCCCTATGAGCGCGACGAGCCCTATGAGCCCTACGGGCCCAATGAGCCCTATGAGCCCTTTGTCGCCTATGATCCTCATAAGCCCTACGAGCCCTATGAGCTCTATCAGCATCATGGGCCCCACGGGCTACACTACCCCAAAGAGCCTCAAGAGCTTGATGAACTGTATGAGGCCCATGGGTTTTATACCCACTGTGACCCCGACGACCCCTCCTGACCCTCATGAGCGCTTTCATCCCAAATAGCACAATGACCCCTGTGATCCCCATGAGCTTCACAAGACCTCCGAGCCAGTCCGCTCCATGGGGCCTGGGAGCCCGTGACTTTTGTGATTCCAAGGACCCTGCGAACCTGCAATCCCAACGGGCTCATAAGCCAGAACAGCTCTCTGAACCCAAGTACGGCTGCGGGCGCTCAGATCCTCATGATCCCCAGAAGCCGCGCTGCCTGAATCATCCCCTCTTCCACATTAATTCGCGTTCCGAGCCTTTTGGCCCCAATGGCGGCGGCGAGCCCCTGAGCCCTGTGGCGCGGAAGAGCCCATGGGTCCTATCAGCCTTGTGTGCCCCATGGCCCCATGGCCACAGCGCGCGGCGGCGCTGGCGACTGCCAGTCGCGGCGGTCCTCTCTGGCGCGACCAAGTTTTGAAAGGCGAAGCGAAGCGAGCCAGTCAAATCTTGTGTGTCATTTGCAATGTATACATATACATCTGTGTGTATACATCTATATATATATATAGATACATACATATAGATATGCATTGGGAGAAGAAGAGGCAGACATCGACGCAGGGGAGATGCGGAGGGAGGCCAGAGGAGGAGCAGCAGCAGCAGCGGCGGCGAGGCGCAGGAGGGAAGGGCATAGGGAGGACGGGCAAAGGGAAGGGGAAGTGGAGGAGAATCTCCATGGAGAGTCGCAATGAGAGGGAGGGGTGAGGAGAGGTGGAAAGGGGGGGAGGGGGTGGCAAATTAGGTGCGCTCGCGCCGTATCTGGCATCCTGCGCCTCCCACCCATCCCTTCCCATTGCGCTGTTTTTTATCCATCCGCCGGCGCGCGTCATATGATGAGCAATCTAAGAAAACGCTGCGTACATTGGATGAGGAGGTGGCGGTTGCGCAGGAGGACGAGCAGGAGGAAAAGAAGGAGGATGAGGAAAGAGGATGACGACAAATAACAGCAGCAGCAGCAGGAGGTGGAGTGGAAGGAGCGGGAGGAGCAGGAGGATCAGGAGAAGGCGGAGGGGAAATGCGGGGTGCGGCAATAATGGATCATAGATCCAGGAAGGTGGCCCGCAATGGGGCGAGAGCGTCAGTCTGAACGACGGGGGCAAAGCGCTGATTGAAAAATGCGGCCCGCGCTTCAGCGGGAGCACTATTTTGAAACACGGGGAACAATCGCATTGTCACCAACCGTTAGAAGGACAACACCGTTGTCCAATCTGTGCTTGAGCAACAAGACGCGGAGAGGGCGGGACATCTTCCGGACACGCTCAGAGGAGAGGAGTGTAGTAGTAGTAGTAGTAGTAGTAGTAGTAGTAGTAGTAGTAGTAGTAGCCGTAATAGTCGTCGTCGTCGTAGTAGTAGTAGTAGTAGTAGTAGTAGTAGTAGTAGTAGTAGTAGTAGTAGTAGTAGTAGTAGTAGTAGTAGTAGTAGTAGTAGTAGTAGTAGTAGTAGTGGTAGTCGTCGTCGTCGTCGTCGTCGTCGTCGTCGTCGTCGTCGTCGTCGTCGTCGTCGTCGTCGTCGTCGTAGTCGTAGTCGTAGTCGTAGTCGTAGCCGTAGTCGTCGTAACTGTAGTACTAGCCATACTAGTAGTAGTAGTCGTCGCAGCAGTCGTAGTTGTAGTAGTAGTAGTAGTAGTAGTCGTAGTAGTAGTAGTAGTAGTAGTGGTAGTAGTAGTAGTCGTAGTAGTAGTAACAACAGCAGTAGTAGTTGTAGTAGCAGTAGCAGTAGTAGTTGTATCAGTAGTAGTAGTAGTAGTACTACTACTACTAGTCGTAGTCGTAGTGTTAGCAGTAGTAATAGCAGCAGCAGTAATAGTTGTAGTATCAGTAGTGGTTGTAGTAGTAGTAGTAGAAGTAGTAGTAGTAGTAGTAGTAGTAGTAGTAGCAGTAGCAGTCGTAGTCGTAGTAATACAAGTATCTCTACTACTAGTTGCACTAGTAGAATTAGTAGAAGTAGTAGAGGTAGTAGCAGGGGTGGTCGCAGCAGTGGCAGTAGTAGTACCAGTACTCGTACCAGTAGTAGTAGTAGTAATAGTCGTCGTAGTAGTAATACTGGTAGCAGCTGTAGTAGTAGTCGTCGTAGTAGTAGTGGTAGTAGTAGTAGATCTAGTCGTAGCCGTACTAGTACTAGTACTAGTAGTAGTAGTAGTAGTAGTAGTAGTAGTAGTAGTAGTAGTAGTGGTAGTGGTAGTAGTAGTAGTAAGAGTAGTAGTTGCGGTGGTGGTGGTGGCAATAGTGGCAGTAGTCGTAGTCGTCGTAGTCGTAGTAGTCGTAATGGCCGTAGTACTGGTAGTAATGGCCGTAGTACTGGTAGTAGTAGTAGTAGTAGTAGTAGTAGTAGTAGTAGTAGTAGTAGTAGAAGGAGTAGAGGTAGTAGTCGTAGTCGTAGTAGTAGTAGTAGTAGCAGTAGCAGTCGTATGTGTAATAGTAGTCGCATCCGTTGCAGCAGTTGTAATAGTAGTACTTCTAGTAGAAGCCATAGTAGTAGCAGTAGTAGTAGTCGCAGAACGAATCGTACTAGTTGTGCTAGTAGTAGTAGCAGTAGAAGTCGTAGTAGTCGTAAAAGTAGCAGTAGTAGTAGTAGTAATCGTTGCTGTTGTTGTAGTAATAGTAGTCGTATCCGTAGTAGCAGTAGTAGTAGTAGCAGTAATAGCAGTAGTAGGGGGAGTAGTAGTAGGCGTAGTACTAGTAGAAGTAGTAGTTGTAGTAGTGGTCGTAGTCGTAGTCGTAGTAGTAGTAATATTAGCAGTAGTAGTAGTAGTAGTAGTAGTAGTAGTAGTAGTAGTACTAGTGGTGGTGGTGGTGGTGGTGGTGATAGTAGTAGTAGTAGTAGTAGTAGTAGTAGTAGTAGTAGTAGTAGTAGTAGTAGTAGTAGTAGTAGCCGTAGGCGCCTTACTCGTAGTAGTCGTAATGACCACCTTACTCGTAGTAGTCGTAGTACTCTAGTAGTCGCTGTAGTAGTCGTACTAGCCGTTGTAGTCGTAGCAGTAGAAGTCGTAGTAGTAATAGTAGTAGTAGTAGTAGTAGTAGTAGTAGTAATAGTAGTAGTAGTAGTAGTA